TGCAAGTTACTGTGCAGAATGTTCAAAGAAAGTAATGAATTTCTTCCAAGTCTGAATTTGATCATTCTTTACTAAATGTATTCTATTACTGCTTTAATACAAGAAAGAGAGAAGAAGGGATGAACAAGTGAAGAAAATGAGGATTTTGACAAGGGAAGAAAAGACAGGGAAAATGGGATTTTAAGCAGCGAAGAACAGATAATCAACAGGGTAAATGACCATCCGACTTTAAAAGCGGGAGTCATTTTCTGTATAATAGACAAGATTTTCCTTTTGACAGAAATCATTTTCCTCCATTCCAAAAGGACCCTTATAGATAATGTCATCCAAGCTTGGCAATTTATTAAGTCAAGGTAGAAACTATACCAATTGTAATAGTGTTTGTTACTATGTAGCAAAAAAATTAGAGCACATGCATTTGTTTACTAACAAATAATCCTAAATAATCAAACTACTGAGCAGTTTATGTTAACAGCAGGCAATAGTTGGCAAAAGTATGAAATACATAGGATATAAAAATAACAGTTGTGCATAAAATTATAGTTGTTACACTGTGAAAATAATGCATATAATTTAAATTAAATAAACATTTTCCTCCATTCAAAAAGGGGCCTTATACATAATGTCATTTAGGCATGGCAATTTATTAAGTGAAGGAACAAACTATACCAATTGTAAGAGTGTTTGTTACTTTCAATCCGAAGAATTGAACACATGCATTTCTTTACCAACAAATAATCCTAAATAATCAAACTACTGAGTCGGCTTCATTCTTTTCGGGATAAAACTGAAAGTGTTAGATATAGACAAATCTTAAGCAAAAAGAATTAGTATTTCATACTTACTCTTCATTCACAAGCATGAAATCTGTGCAGTTTTGGCATCTCCACCAACAGAGACATATTCTCTAGGCATTCTCTGAATTGCAACGGCCATGAAATCTAAATGTAGGAAACATTATTTAAAAAATGTTTAGATATCACATCATTTTGTTTTTTGTATGTACACTTAATGAAGATTAATACTATTCACATACTAATTGGTGTTCTGGACCCGCATAATAAAACCGTGTGAAAATAGTGTCTGATTCATTCGTTGCCTGAATTTCTTCTGATTTTGGGGCTACCTCGATCCATGTTTTTCTACTCAACATCCAGATGAACTTATAGTCTACTGATGGGGAATCACCACCATACATGCTAGGCATGACAGCAGCATTGCTTATGTAGTATGTGTTTTTTAGATCGAGTATCTTACCAATTTGTTGAATATCACCACTGTTTGCGAGAGCAAGAACCTTGGTACCCTGTGTGGAAAACGTGGCATAAAACATAATTAATAAAGGTAATATATACACTTTAACATTATTTATTTTATACGCTTTATATACTTACCTCCTCATCCTGCAATACATAAGGCCTATACTTGTTGGGGCTCGTCCTTGAGTCTCGGACCTTGCATTTCCATTCCTTTTTGTTGTCTTTTATTCCACTTATCATTTTTGTCTCCATAACCTAATTATTTATAAAAAATGGTTTCAATAAATTCAATACGCTCTTGGATTACTGTCATATGATAGCATATAATGTTTTGCTTAAGAATAAAAGTATAATCCACGCATTATGAGTAATTTAAAAAATCTTGAATTAAAACAGCATTAAAACAAAATCCGAAGTTTTAGGGGAATAGTTTTAGACAATTAAAGATTTGATAAACAGGAAAATTCTTAGTTATAAAACAGGTCATAATAAAAAAACAGAGAAATAATATTTTCTCTATACTCACAAGACTGCAAGTTACTGTGCAGAATGTTCAAAGAAAGTAATGAATTTCTTCCAAGTCTGAATTTGATCATTCTTTACTAAATGTATTCTATTACTGCTTTAATACAAGAAAGAGAGAAGAAGGGATGAACAAGTGAAGAAAATGAGGATTTTGACAAGGGAAGAAAAGACAGGGAAAATGGGATTTTAAGCAGCGAAGAACAGATAATCAACAGGGTAAATGACCATCCGACTTTAAAAGCGGGAGTCATTTTCTNAAATCCGAAGTTTTAGGGGAATAGTTTTAGACAATTAAAGATTTGATAAACAGGAAAATTCTTAGTTATAAAACAGGTCATAATAAAAAAACAGAGAAATAATATTTTCTCTATACTCACAAGACTGCAAGTTACTGTGCAGAATGTTCAAAGAAAGTAATGAATTTCTTCCAAGTCTGAATTTGATCATTCTTTACTAAATGTATTCTATTACTGCTTTAATACAAGAAAGAGAGAAGAAGGGATGAACAAGTGAAGAAAATGAGGATTTTGACAAGGGAAGAAAAGACAGGGAAAATGGGATTTTAAGCAGCGAAGAACAGATAATCAACAGGGTAAATGACCATCCGACTTTAAAAGCGGGAGTCATTTTCTGTATAATAGACAAGATTTTCCGTTTGACAGAAATCATTTTCCTCCATTCCAAAAGGACCCTTTTAGATAATGTCATCCAAGCTTGGCAATTTATTAAGTCAAGGTAGAAACTATACCAATTGTAATAGTGTTTGTTACTATGTAGCAAAAAAATTAGAGCACATGCATTTGTTAACTAACAAATAATCCTAAATAATCAAACTACTGAGCAGTTTATGTCAACAGCAGGCAATAGTTGGCAAAAGTATGAAATACATAGGATTTAAAAATAACAGTTGTGCATATAATTGTGGTTGTTAAACTGTGAAAATAATGCATATACTTTAAATTACCTGAAGAATGATCTTCTAACCTGTTTCAGCTTCGGCCGTACCTGTACGTCAAAAATTATCCTTCTTGAATCTTGACTTGCAATAATAGAAACAAACAACAAGAATAAGAAGCGAAATAACTCATAAGATTATACCTAGGAGGATTCTTGGAGATGGTGCCTCGTCCCATCTCTCAAAATTGAATATAAATAGCCCCTTTAGAAGATTTTGAAATAAGAACGTCCATGCTGAAATAATTGGGCGGGGGTTATTCAGAGAAGGTACCATAAATAGAAGAAATCAGACAAAACGTTTCATTCATACCGGCGAATCTGCGATTCTGCATATTTGCTAGAATTAGCTTGTTATTACGATTTTGTTTGGTGATGCATCGCCAGCAAATCCGTGTATTCATGTAATTGCCTAGTGTCTGTAACGCAACGCAGAAATTCCGGAAATCCAGGGATGATTATGATTCCAATCGCACAAGGATTATAATCCTTTGCTGAGGGACAGGCGGTAATTACGCCTATTTCATAGGGAAGACAGGATGTTGGGCAAGAGGAAGAGATTTCAAGCGAGTCACCCTCAGAGCAAGCAGTAACGCCGTAAGGGTAGTTTGTGATTAGAAAAGCTTCGTACAACGAAAGAGCCTATGGGTACATGTATTTTGGACGGAAAAACTACAAAATAATTTGAGGGTACCTAACCATGATAAACATTTATAAGATATGTAAGATTATATATATATATATATATATATATATATATATGGGCTGGTTCTTGTGAGAATGCACCTTGTGGAGAGAAATGAGAATAAAATCTAGCCGTTGGATCTGATGCATCGTGCGGCTCAGATTGCATCCTGCGCTCAAATTTTGACATAGTGCATTTTCAAAGGATTTTGGTGCATTTCAGCGTGATGCATTTTCAAACCATTTTGGTGCATCTAATTTTGATGCAATCCTGGCCTTTAGATCTCACAATTTAAAACACCATATTCATTCTCATTTCTCTCCTAAGATTGCATTTTCACCATAACCAATATATATATATATATATATGTATGTATGTATGTATGTATATGTATATATTTATATTTATATGTATATGCATGCATACATACATACACACACACACACACACACATATATATATATATACTGAGGTCTTCCCTTAACCATTGGAAGAAGTAAAGGGTTTTCTAAATCGTGAAAACAAACCCCCTAGAAAAGGGACAAAGCCGCCCAGATATGCTGATCCCCAACAAAATTCCATTCTGAAATCAGATGGGTCTCCCAAAGTCAACCACGAGGGACCTGTGAGAGCATCTGAATCCTGATGGCTTCTTTTGACCAAAGTTAACAGCCGCGTGAAGAGCAGAGGCTATCCAGATAATAATGGTACATGAGTCAATCAGCTCCTGGATTGTCTGCATTTTAGGCCACCATGGCTTATCTTTTAAATCACCATGTCCTTGCTCTCGGAGTTCCTTCCACCAAGCCTGAAGTTCAGTATCTTTCAGTACCATGTCATTTGATTTGTAATGTAACTTGCAGTATTCATCTACCCATGTTTTGATAGATGACCATATTTCTAGCCCGTCAACAGCATATGGGTAGTCCTCAATTAGTAGGCGAACACCATGTGGGGAATTTTGGTCTTCTACAGCCACACCTCTAAAACATCATATAGAGAACTGTTAAATCACTTGCAATGCTATATTATGACACTGAAGATTGGCAAAATTTTAACAAAAAGCAAAGTTAATGACGTGTACAAGATCAACTAGTGGCATCATAATGATATATCATTGTAAAAGAGAAAAACTCCACTGAGTTTGTGATTTGAATGTTTTGGAGGCAGTAAGCCAAGACAGTGATTTATGTGGGGATCATGGCATACCTCTTTACAAGATCAGTTGGGAGTGCCTGGTCAGTGAAATCCCAACCCTTGTAAACTACAGCAGACATTTCCATGGTATATCTGCCAGGGAAAACTGTCTTCTCAAGAATTCCACCAGCATTGATCAATATCTGGCGAGCCAAAGCATTGATAGTCGTAGTGTCACGAAAATGGGGATGCAGAAGCATATATATTGGGTGAAGTGCACTCAATTGCCTATTTGTTGCAATAACGAATGGCTCAATCACAGCATGTGTGTTCAACCTATGATGGAGATTCAAAATAAAAATTTAAGGAATAAGTAATATATCCAACAACAAAATTTTATTTCTATTTGATTTTATAAACGGCAATATACATACCAGTGGCTGACCAACTGATGAACCCCTGAATCATTCACAGCTACATAAGCTTTAGCTAATTTCCACACACCATTTTCAACACCTTGTTCAGCTGGTGTGTACACTTTGCTTTTAGAATATTGGGGTTTTACAAATTAAGTGCAACCAACAAACAAAATGAAGTTACCTCCTCAACTGAAAGACCATCTAATCTGCCTAGGATATTCTCTTTTGTGATTTTACTGGTGTGGTCGCCGTAAACATTAGGATCCAGTTTACTTTTTGGTGCGAACTCCTGTAATAAAAAATTAAACAATAGAGAATTCATCTTTAATAATTTAACTGAGGATTCACACGCCATAATGTAATTTTCATTGTCTGTTAAGAAGTTTAAATAGTCTAATAAAGTTGAGGTACTTGGAGGCGACTAATGATGACAGGGTTCACTCCAGCCAGCATTTCTCTTCCAAATTCATCATCGGTTCTCCATGCAGTTTTATCCTCTATTTTGCAGCATACACAATTTCGGAATTATAAATGATGGGAAAATATAAGCAACACAACTATATAAAAAAAAATTGTACAAATCCCTTGGATAACCTGTGGGGTTGGGAATTTAAAGAGCCCCTCGCCATCACTGCGGAAGAATTCCCTGAGTCATGATATTATTCACACCAAAAAGTTCATCCCAAATAAGAAAACCTAATTAATATGTAAGGAGCAGTTTTATAGAGTTAGAGAGGAACCCTAATTTCAACCAAACAGATCGACATGGAGATGAAATTCGTACCTGGTTTGCGAAGAAGACGCGGTCGTAGTTGTATTTGGAAGCCGGATAAACCCAAGAGTGGCAAACAAAGTGGACATCGCCATGATTGGGAAGGTCATGGAGGGTAATGGTTTTGAGGAAGAACTCGTTGGGATGATTGTTCTTGATGACGAACGCTCCCGGAACCCCAAAATCTTCATCCCACCCGAAGGCAAATTCGAACGCCGACTCGCCGGAGGCTAAAAGGGGGTTGTTGAGCACCCAATTGTTCAAAGAGGTGGCCTTGCTGCGCTTTCCTTGTCAGCGCATTTAAAAATGAATAAGTTAAAAAGAGTTTTGGAATAAATTTTGAAACCGTGATCCCAATATTAGATTATTAGGTTGTCGCATTGTACTGTGACTTATGGGATGATGACTCTCCCTTGTGACGTTTGAGAGTCCACTACGGTGGCTCACGAAGTGATGACATGGGGAAACTAGTCGTGACCAATGTAATTGTGACCAACATAGTTGTGATTAACGAGGACGTTGGGCTTTATATGGGGTCAAATAATACAAATTGATATCATTGTCCCACGCGGATTAAATGAGAGACTTGATGATGGGTTTATATAGGGACTAGGGCTGTCAACGGATAGCCGAAAATTCAATTATTGTCTGCATCCGTATCCGTTTAAAAAAGAAATATCTGTATCCGTTTTAAACGGATATTATCTGTATTCGATTAAGGATATCCAAGTACTAAACGGATACGAATTTGTTAATTGTATATCTTATCTGTTTGAAATTTGATCCGAATATGCATCTATTTAAATAACTCTTTATCCAAATATCCGATCCGTTATATATAAGTTTTTCTAATTTTTTTATGTTTATATCTTATTTCTCTATTGATATTTCAAAGCATAAGACATTTTATCTGCAAAATAAATGTTAGACACATAAATATATGTGGAGACATAAAAAAGTATGTGTATATGTATGATGTGTATATCTTTTTATCATACAAAGTTATCATAGAATTTCATAAATCATGAAAGACAAAGAAAATAATTATTCTATAGTATAATTTATTTATTAATAGTTTGACTTTAATCTAATTTAAAATTAAAGTATTCTATAATTTGATTTTAAAAATTGGAAACTGATACGAATATATCCGATATCGACGGATGCGGATACGATTTTGATTTACAGTATCCGTCAAGATTCGTGTCCGAATTCCATATCCGACAAAAATAAATGGATACGGATTTGGTAATGACACATCCAATCCGATTAATATCTGGTTACACCTCTAGGTTTATATAGCCAAGAGTTCTCCTACCTTAATAGATAGCTTGTGGGATGTGGTTCTCATATGTGTTGTATCAGATGATCCGGGGCACTATGCTCCAATGATCACGTCTTTTTTTCTAAAGCTATTATTCTACTACCCGGAGTATATCATAAGAGGCGTTGAAAAGGAAGTGACACACTATAGATCGTCCATTCAATAGTTATTTTTAACGAAAATAAGAAATATCAATTACGCATGTATTATTTTTCATAATATGATTATGAAGGATAACGAATTCACAATTTGTCATTACAATCCAGACGAGGAGGAGCATGTCTACAATGAAATTAATGAAGAAAAAAACAAAGAAACCACCAAGAAATTTGAAGATGAGAGATTTACAATGCACTAACGGCGGATTTTTATTGAACATATTTTTAGTCGCTCAAATAATCATTAATTTTTCGTAATGTAATGTAATTTTTAAGTTTTTTTAGTTGTCCAACTAATGTAATTTTTATTTATGTTTTTATTACAAAATCTCTTTTTATTAATGTAATATTTTTAAAAGTTAATGTACTTTTTTTATTGAATGCAATATTCCAATTTAAATTTATTTAATTAATGGAATTTTAATAATTTACTTTTACAAAATATGTACTCCAATTTTTACTACTTTTTACAAAATTCAAAAATAAAATTTACTACTTTCGTTCTGGTGTATTCGTCGAGTTCGACTTTTTTATTCAAATTAGATAATTTTGAACATTAATTGAATAAAATCTATAATGGATAAAAGCTAATAAATGATTTCATTTGATTTAATTTGTTAAGTACTTTCAAAATTCTATTTTGTTATATTTATATGCAATACAAATTGAATTTAATTGAAAAATCAAGTTTGCCTAGTTTGATTCAAAGAAGTCAAACTGAACGAACACATCGAAACAAAGAGAGGACATATTTAAAAATTACTATGTGACACAACTATTTTATACTCCCTGTTATGAAATAAATAGTGAAACTAAGCAAACGAAGTAAAGAAAATTTGACCTGTAAATAATGACAAAGCGATATTGACACTCTACTTTTTTATTGGCACTCCAAAAGGAGCCATGCTAAGTTCAGAAACAAAATGATCACAATTTTCACAAACCTTTTATTTATGGTTTAAATTTTCATTTTGAAATTATTTTAGACTATTTAATTCTTTTATTGAATTTCAAAAATAGTTAATTTGTGAATTTTGTAATCATTTGTTTGTAAATCTAGCATTTCTCCTCCAAAATAGACAATACATATGAAAGATGAATAATGCATTTTGGATTGACGGAGCATGTTACACGAACTCCAAAAAGTGCACTTCATTTGTATACCAAATGCATAAACTAACATTTTGATGGTTCATAATGACATTAAGTGGTAGTGCATTAACAAAAATTTACACTGACACAAAATATTGGTGTACTAACAAAAATTAACATTACACAATCATAAAATATTAGTGCATCCTGTGATGTACAAAATGGTGTAAAAAAATTTAGGCCCCGTTTGGTACACGGAATTCAAACTATGGAATTAGAATTGATGACCTAAATTCTAATTCTCGTGTTTGGTAGCACAAAAATTATGTGAATTTAGAATTCGTAATGCAAAAAATGAATTGGAATTGATTAATTCAATTTTATGGAATTGAATCCATAGAAATTTAATTTCAATTCAATTTCAATTCATCAATTTCGTATACCAAACAGACCCCTAGGGTACAAATAGGTTTATGGTGGATTGACACTAGGAAAAAATGAGATGTGAAAACTGACATAAAGAATGGGGCAGAGCAGAACTAATGAATTCCACAGACACTTTGCGGCCAAGAAAATCGGAGAGATTGTCGACAATGGAGGCTTTAAAGTCGCTAAAGTCTAAAACATTCTTCTTCATCAAAACCGCCCTTCCCTTTATCTTCTTCTTCTTCTGCTGCTTCGTTATCAATGAACTAAGCAACATTTTAACCCAACTCCATTTCTGACGGGTCTGTCTTCGGACCAGATCGATGAAAAGAGTAATAATAAACCACATGCTTAACCCTTTCCTTTTTTTATTTGAGTTTGGGTAGTCGAGAGAGACGGCGGCCGGCGTATTTATTGCCTAATTGGGAAGATCCATCTTCAAAATTCATTCACAAGCATGGCTTCCCCCCTTTAGTATTTTAATTTTTTAGTTTTTTTTTAAAAATTTATTTTTGTTCTAGTTTAATTTATTGTAATTTTTTAGTTCTATTTCCGTTTTTTTTACTTTTTTAAATCGGTTTTTTGTTCTTCGTTTGTGATACACTTGTGCCTTATTCTTTTGTGTTGAAATTTCATAGTTGGATATTGAAAGAAATGGAAAAGAGTTGGAAAAATCGAAAGGAATTGAAAAAAAGTGGAATGAGTTGGAAAATATTGGAATCATTAAAGTGTTAAAAAGTCATTCAATTATATGATCACCCAAATAAATATGTAAAAAAACTCTAATTTTGAATCTAAAAAAAACTATACTTCTTTAGGTTTGTGGTGCATGGTTTGTTATTAATTTGGATATATAATTTTATTCTATGTTAATCATATATAAATAACTTTTTTAAATCGTTGTTGGAAGACACTAAAAAATTAGAAGAAACTGAAAAAAGTTAGTAAAAAGGTTGAAAGTTAATTTTCCCTACCAAAAGGACAAGGACTTAGTTGTAAATTTTGGCACTTTTTTCATTTTAAATCTTATTTTGCATTCTTCATTTTTAAATTTTAAATTTAATAATAATTAAATACGGAGTATTTAATTTAATTATTTAGTTAAAATAGTTTAAATTGTTGAGTACTACCTCCGTCCCAGAGTATTTGTCCACTTTCATTTTTACGCACCATCCAATACACTTCTTTAATCCATTTTATCTTGTAATTTGTTTATAAAAAAATTATAAAAATTACATATTAATAATCTATATGTTAAGACAAATCAAACAAGATCACACATGACTATATTTAGGCTTACATATTGAGAGAATTTGATGAGTCAAAGTGCTTAGATGAACAATTCCAAAAATCAAAACTAGACAAATACTCCGAGACGGAGGGAGTAATACGAAGACACGGAGTATTAAAAATGGAAAGAAAAAGAAAGGGAAAGAGAAACGCATCGAATAAAGGCCGGGAGAGTAATAGAAAACAATGAGTTGGTCGTTGGAAAAAAAGGGGAGGGGAACCACCCTAATCAATTTTTAACTTTTTTTCTTAGGATCGTGCTACAATGCACCCGTGGTTGCCTCCTATGCTGCCTCCCTATTTAAGCTGTTTTTTTTGCTTTTCTCATTCTATTTTTTTCCTTTTTTTCCTTTCCTCTACGTCGCTGTGGCTCTGCTCTTCGGCTCCAGCGACCCGCTCTCTTCTCCTGGCGGCAGCTATGCTCTTCGGCTCCGTGCGCTCTCCTTCTTGGCAGGTAAACTCTTCTTTTTCTTATCTTCCCATTCATATGTCTGATGCGCCAACCACTGTAGCACGAAAATTCCTCTTTCAATCTCTTTTCTTCATCCCATTTTTAGTCAATTTCTATGGCAATAATTTTTTGAATTTTAGTAGAGTACATAGGATATTTGGTGATTATGGACTTACAAACATCTATTGTTACACATGTTGAGAATGAGCAACCACATGATTTTGGTGGTGAAGAAGAAGACCTGGGTTTATATGAGTTGCAGCCCAGTTGTAAGTGTTGATATTTAGACCCCATTCTATAATCATTAGAAGTAGCGAAAAAAAGTGTTTTCTTTTCGTGTTACAGAGATTAAAGTTCTGTGAATCTAGGGTTTGTCCTTGTCACAGACGCTAATTATCTGTATGCACTCTGCATTTGGTGTATTATTGTTTTCTTTATAGTCAGGTATTTTATTATATTAAAGGTACTTTTTTTTGCAGCTTTTGAACCAGATTTGTTTCTAAACGATCCTTGCTTTCAGTATTTATTTAACGATGAAGGGCAAGAACATGCGAGTGGTGAGATTCCACAGAACACAGATGACATTAACAATAATGTCCGGAACAATGGTCAATATCCTTCTAAATGGAACAAAGGGAGCGTGCCTGAAGTGGGGATGAAATTTACAAGCATTGAAGAAATTCGAGAACACTATCTGGCTTATGCTCGAAGTGTAGGATTTCCAATGCGGACAAGGACAACTCGCAAAGCCAAAGATGGAACTCCTAGAAGTGTTACATTTGTGTGTAGTCGACAAGGAAATAAAAAGAGCAAAACACAAGATGTGTTCCATCCGAGGCCGACAATGCAATTGGGATGTGAAGCAAGAGTAACTGCGTCATGTGATGGTGATGGAATATGGAAGATCTCCGTTGTGCAGTTATTGCATAACCATGGCTTGAGTCCTACTAAATCTAGAATATATCGTTGTAATCGTAGTGTGCCTGCTAGTGTTAAAAAGCAGCTTGAGGTTAATGAAAAGGCTGGAATTCCCTTGCACAAGAGTTTTCAAGCAGCTGTTGTGGAAGCGGGTGGATATGAAGAACTTGGCTTTATAGAGAAGGATTGTCGAAATTACATTGAAGAGTTTAGACGATTAAGACTTGGCCTCGGAGATGCAGAGGCAATACAGGGATATTTTAACAAGATGCAAGCAAAGAATGACGGGTTTTTCTTTAGCATGGATGTGGACGAAGAATCAAGGCTTAGAAATGTGTTTTGGGTGGACAACAGGTGTCGTCAGTGTTACAAATCCTTTGGTGATGTTGTGACATTTGACACTACATACTTGACTAACAAGTATGAATTGCGGTTTGCTCCTTTCGTAGGTGTAAACCATCATGGGCAATCAGTACTTCTTGGTTGCGGCTTAATTGCACACGAAGATACAGAGTCATTTGTTTGGCTTTTCAAGACATGGCTTCAGTGTATGGATGGGGTTCCACCCCAAGGCATCATTACAGATCAAGATCAAGGCATGGCGAAAGCAATCAGTATAGTGTTTCCAGGCATTAAACATCGTTGGTGTCTTTGGCATATTCTTAACAAATTGCCTGAAAAGTTAGGAGGCAGGTCTGATAAAGTTGAAATCATGGATAAGATAAACGACCTTGTGTATGATGTTCATGTTATCACAGAATTTGAGCAAGGCTGGAGAGAAATGATTATGG